ATTATTCTTAAATGAACAGCTAACATACATTTTTTAGCTGCAAAAAGTAAAAATTTACTAGCATAAAGGACGTATAAGGTAGCTAGCATACATTTTTTAACTGCAAATAGTAAAAATTTACTAGCATAAAGGAGGTATAAGGTGTTTTCAAACCCTATGGCTTAAGAGATATAGAAGAGAGAGAAGTGAAGTGATGGATTTTTTAATAAATTAAAATTTAATATTTAAAAATATTATAATTTAATTTATTAAAAAAATTTATCACTTCTAACTCTTTTTTTTTATTTATTTCTTTTGAACTAAATATACAGATAAATACAGAAAATATATAGTTGCATTTGTTCAACTTGGTGACGAATAATGCTTCGTTGCTAAGAGACATATTTTCCCTACCAACGAAGATGGATCATAAAAGCAATACAAGGTTAAGAATAGGATTGTCAGCTATTAAATTCTATAATTAATAAACTTTTTTTTTTTAAGCAGTGTACAATTTTTGAAGAAATGAGAATGAAATTTTCAAGACGATAGGTGAAAGATACGAAATCTTGACCAACAAAATCAAATCAAATACTTAAAAGTTTGGAAGCACCACTATGATCCGAAGTTCGAGTTTATAATTAATAAACTTTTCGGATTGATGATGAAAAAAAAAAAAAAAATTCCAAGTTGGAAGCAGGACTCTTTTTATCATTACCCCAACAAAAATAGAGTATAAAGTTTTATAGAATTAAAATAAAAATAATAATTATTGTGAAATAGGGAGTAAAAGGTGGAGCCTGCTGGCCGCCGGCTACCGAAATGGGAAACCGAAAACGCGGTAAAAAAAGGAGCAAGCGTGGACAGGACTACACGTGTCAAATAATCAGGGTGGACCGGTCCTTACCAAATGTCAACATCAGGAACAGAGCTGAAGGATGCAGTGGAGGCCCCACCACAGACAAGGACAAAAATTAAACTACCAAAATTAGAATGTAATGCTTTGTCCATTCTCTCATTTGTCGGCTCTGCACTATTCAATTTTAGCATAATTAAAATTTTATAATTATTTTATTGTCCGTTAAAAAGTAATAATAATAGTAGTATTTG